CGCTCCGCAGGCTTCGGACTGCTTCACGTCCCCCACCTCACCCACCCCACCGTTGGCGGGTGGGCCTTCAACCACTCTGCCCCCACCCTCTGGAACTCCATCTCGTGGTCCCTCCACCTCGCCACCTCCCATACCTCCTTCAAGACCCATCTCAAGACCCTCCTCTTCGACCGTACCTTTGATCACCCTCCTTTCCCCCCTGCCCTCCACACTCCTCTATCCCGACCCTCAGTCCAAACACTGATTGTCCAGCACCTTGGGATGTCTTCCTGACATGAAAGGCGCCATACAAATGTAATTTTGTTGCTGTTGTTGTTGTTACTTGGGACCTGGACCTCACAGCAAGCAAAAAATATCAACTACATTTTTCTTCCTTTCTCTCTCACCCCCACTCCTTTTATCAGGCTAAAATATGATTCCATGGACGCAGTTGCAGTTGCTTCCCATTCTTTAAACTTCAGCTGAAACGTTGAGCGCCAGCCGCCAGCAGGCTGTTCAAGTTGTGTGCGCGCGTGGAGGAGGGAAAGGGCATCAAAACAAAGATCAATTCTGTTCTCACCCAATAATATTCTTTGCATTTGATACAGCGCCTTATCACAGCTTCAAGATGTCATTAAGCGTTTCACAGAATCTATTGTGATGTGAATTGACTGAATATTTTTGGTCACAAATAAACAGTCAATTCACTTTACAGCATATTCTGTGAAGCGCTTTGAGACGTCGAGAAGACGTGAAAAGCACTATATCAAATGCTAGGATTATTATTATATTTTGTGGGCAAAACACGGCAGCCAGTTGAGTACAGCAGTGTCCCACAAACAATTGTGGATTGAGTGACCATTTTTTAAAATTATTTTTTTTGAAGGGATTATTACCCCCAGAAAAGCGATCCGCCAATCAACTAATGACCAGGTTCCTACTTACTGCTAAGTAAACAGAGGCGTGTGGAGTAAGGAAACTTACAAAACATTTTGCCCTGCCCGGGGATCAAACTCAGGTCTCTCACTTGCTAGGTAAGTGCTCTAACCACTGAGCCACAACGCTCCATAAATGCAGCTAATTTGCAATATTTCTTGTTGGGGTACCTTCCCGTTAGAGTGGATTAATTCATGTGACATATTTCTGGTTATGAAAAAAATCCCCAATTGCATGAATCAGATTTTAAGAAATCCTGTTAAATTGATTATTCTTACAGCAAGAATCTTTTCTTACCATTCTCCAAGCACATTTCATCCAGTTTCACCAGTCAGACAAAAACACCTCAGTCCTTGCTGGTCTCCATTGGCTCCCTATTGCAGAATGGATCATTTCAAAATCCTCACACTCATGTACCAATCACTTCATGCCCTGGTAACTCCCTCCAGGCAGGGCGAAACCTTGGGCAAGTTTCCTTACTCCACACGCCTAATAATAATCCCTCCAAAACCAAAAAAAAACAATAATAAATTGGTCATTTTCAATCCACGACTGTTTGTGGAACATTGCTGTGCGCAATTGGCTGCCGCGTTCGCCCACAAATATACAGTCAATTCACTTTACAGTATATTCTGTGAAACGCTTTGGGACGTCCTCCCGATGTGAAAAGCGCTATATCAAATGCAAGGATTATTATTATTATTATTATTACCTCTCCACACTGCTTACTCTACACATTGCCTTCACTCAGCTGCCTCCAGCCTCCTGCACATGCCTCATCCCCTCTGTTCCACCATCAGTTGTACTTTCAGCCGCTATGCCCCGAAATTCTTAACTCGCTGCCTCAAACCATCAGCCTTGCGCCCTCCTTGTCCATCTTCCGAACAGAACACACCTGAAGACCTTCCTGTTTGATCATCCCTACGGTTACTGCGGTCAACCTCCACCACTGTTAAGCATTTTAAGTCACTACCTCACATGAGCGGTGCTATATAAAGTAAGTTTTAAGTGTGTAAGGTGAGAAATTACCCCTAATACAAACACAATTGTATGGCTATTGGACTTTTCACCCATAATTATGACATGAGTTTAGTTAATTTATACAATGAATGGTCACTGCAATTATCAACATCGCTGTCTAATATGACATTCTTCTGTGGTGGCAAATTAGCCAAGTTGTTCACTCATAAATATTATTGTTTGCTCAGTTTGTAGCATTGTTACGTCCCAATTAGAAATCTGCTTTTGAATCTACCTTCTGATAAAATCAGGAGCTTGGCTGTCAAATCCCATAAGAATGTGTAAGGCATAAGAATAAGTATAGAAGTATTTGTGGTGTTAAATCAATTTATATTAAATTGATTAAATCAACTGATGCACTTACAGCACTTGCATCAAATTGAAAGGTTCCTTTTCCTTCATTTCTAGTGAATGAGGCGCCATCTATAGGTGTGTTCAGCAAAGAGCACACCAATTTAAAAGAAGGGATCTTATCTGCAAGATGTTTCTCGATGTATAATAATAATATTCTTTGTTTGATATAGAGTCTGATAATGTCAAAAAGTGAATTGAAAGTCTATATTTTGTTGGCAAAACATGGCAGCCAATTTGTGCACAATAGTGTCCCATGAACAGTCATGAGGTGAATAACCAATTGTGTCTGGCTAAGATACCTGGAGAAATTTCCTTCTCTTTTTATTAGTGCAATGGGATCTTTATTATGTACCTCAAATGGCAGATGGAACCTTGATTTAAGGTGTTATCCAAAGGACAGCACCTCTGACAATGTACTTCTCTCCCCAAACTGCATTGGAGTATCAATCTAAACAATGAACTCAAAGTCCCAACATGGGGCTGGAACACTTGTAATGCTGCAACATGACCACAAATAACGTTTTAAAAAAAAATCCCCAAAATGAAGCGCTGCAGTTGGCTGACTCCTTCTGCCCTGAGAGAAGCCACATCCACTCCTGTTGTTGGTTACCCGAAACCTATATAAATGCAAACCTTCATCATTGTCAAATGCAGTTTCATTCCCTAAAAGCATGGGATGAGAAATTCAATATTACTTAACAAGAAAAGCATGATGTGGCTTTAACAGTTTTTAACCCCTCCCCATCCCTTACTCTCCTGTAGTTATAATTAACAGTGAAGATTAAGATAGATAACTGACATTACATGTGCACAACAGGTGGATCAGTATGTAGGAGAGAGATGAAATATTTCAAGTGGGATCCTTCAGTGATCAGGGAATAATGAGGGTAAGTACCTGAACAGGAGATGAGAAATGCGATGTTTTGTAACAAATTCAATAATTATCACCCTTCCCCAAATCAGGACTCAATTGTTTGGTAACACTCTATTAATCATTTGTGGCTTAAATACAATTTGTAAAAATGGAAATCCTCTGAAGTGATTTGAGATGTCTCGACAATGTGATAAGCCACTAAATCATTATTATAGAATTATAAATATTAATATAAATATTAAACACATCCACAGGCCAAAGGTAGAAAATAAATGCAGTCTTCTTTCAGGGCATTAAGCACTATCAATAGGCCCATTCAAAAATTGCTTTCTACACTATTACATCTTTTTTTTAAGATGGACCAATAAAAGGGTAATCATGGGACTGAAATTACAATGGAATCTGTTTATTCTTTGGTTCCAGTTGCTATAAACCTGCTGGGAATGTTGCTGGATAAAATAAAATATTTGATCTGGTTCGCTGCATTAGTTTACATGTTGATGTGCATATAGTTTAATGCTCTGAATAAAAGATCAGTTATCGAGAATTCACACAGCTGAATTAGCTGCATTACACAATGGTGAGGAGGACTATGCCTTTTCTGGGGCAAGAATGCAAATAGCCATTTAGAAAGAGAATTCTCTGGAAACCAATCTCACATATGTTCCACTTGCTCAGTTTGCCTGCAGCCCAACCCTGCCAGAACAAGCCAATAAAGTGGTAAAAAANTATTGCATTCAGTGATAGGCACAGTGCCTTTGGCATGACGATATTGGGAAACCCCATTAGTGACTGACACCACCAAAAGCAACGGTTGTATCTCTACGGAATGTGGTGAATCCAACAAAAGGTGCATGAACTTTACTACTACTACTAATAATAATCCTTGCATTTGATATAGCGCCTTATCACATCCTCTAAACGTCTCAAAACGCTTCACAGAATAAACTGTACTGTTATGAATATGGTGTAAGCTAGATGCAGCACTATGCATATAGACCTAACTAATTGAAAAGCAGGAGAAAAGCATTGTGCCTTTCACATCAGGAGAATATACCAAAGAGCTCAACAATTCTAGGCAGGCACCAGAGTTGAGATGGGAGCTGAGGGTTAGTGAAGAGGGAAAAGATGACCGAAAGAGTGGTCAAAGAGGTAAGTTTTGAGGTGTACTTTAGCTTTCACAGATTATACCCACAAACTCAATTGTAAATTGCTTAGTATGGTGGCCATTCCTTGTCCTCACTGAGTGCAGAATACTCAAAATATATCCAGAAAGAGAAACATTTCTGCTTACATTTATTAAGATTATTACATTTACCACAGATCGCATATTTATACTGATTTATTGGGCGAACAAGATCTTAACTAGTTACGAAAAGTGAATCCACTAACTCACAGAGCAAGGAGTCCCACCTCGGGAGAGAATACAACACAATACTGAAAAAAGGCTGTATGCAGGGTTTCTGTTTTTTTAATGATAATAATACTTGCATTTGATTTAGTGTCTTATCACGTCGATGTGACGTCTCAAAGCACTTCACAGAATATACTGTTGAGTGAATTGACTTGTGGGTGAAAGAGGCAGCCAATTGCGCACAGCCATTCCCAGAAACAATCGTGGATTGAGTGACCAAATTATTATTATTTTTTTTGAAGGGATTATTACCCCCGAAAAGCAATCCGCCAATCAACTAACAACTGAGTTCCTATTTGTTGCTAGGTAAACAGAGCAAGAGGAGCTTGCTTTGCTTTTACCCACACTGAGGAGACAAGTCCCAAAATGCAGTGCAACTTTCCTTTGTATATATATAAGGAATAATAAAAGTCCAAACGTGCAGACAGTTTACTTGACTGAGCAACATCTTTAATACACTGGAATTCACCACATTGAGCAATCCATTTTTTTCTTAAATCAATGTATTTTTCAGATTCAGCGCTGATAGGAGAAAACAATTCATATAGCACATATATTCTCTCTTTTTTAAAGTTTAGATAAATATATTCTCAAGAACAAAGCTGTACAACTTTACTACTTTTACAAAAATAAGGTAAGCTAGATGCAGCACTATGCACATAGACTTAATAGATTGAATAGCAGGAGAAAGCTTTCACATATTACACCCACAAACTCAACTTTGTATTGCTTAGCATGGTGGCAATGTCTTTGTCCTCACTGAGGGCAGAATATGCAAAATATATCCAAAAAAGAGAAAGGAAACAGCAACATTTCTTCTTACATTTACTACCAATGTAACCAAGTGCAACAGTTACTTAAGGATTTTAATACATGTAAACTGAAGATTTTACACTGATGAAATTCTGTGATAAACTGTGTCACTGTATTAGACAATTCCCACAAAAATGTACCGCCTTCATTCATTGAAAAAGTGGCACAAATAGAATGACAGACTGGGTCACAATGGCTGCTCTAGTGAGGTAAAGGGACCAAAACCTGTACATAGTTGATGGGGAAGAATCCTGACTGGCCCTGAAGCATCCCTTCATACCAGTTGTCATCGATCTGATTGGTGAGTGTGATGATATCTCCCTCCTTGAATCCCAGTTCTCCTTCATTCTCTGGATCAAAGTCATACACAGCCCTGCAGGACGGCTGATCCAATGGTGTACCTGCTTCAAAATAGGTTTGCGTTTAGTTGTAAGGAGGACTATGAGACTTCAAATATAACACAGTTCACATTTATATAGGGCTTGTCACGCAGGAAGGGCATCACAAAGCACTGAACACTGCTGGCTAAGTACCCAAGCTGGGGAGGGGGCAGGTGAAAGAAGACCAAAAGCCTGATCAAAGAGGTAAGTCTTGAGACGGGCTTTGGAAGTGGGCAAGGAGAGGGAGTGAGTCAGAGGGATAATACAGTGCAATTTTCATTTATATAGTGCCTTTCACTTTAAGAGCACGCATCAAAGCACTTAATTCTAAAAACACAGGTTTTGGAAATATAATATTCCCAATCAAGTTGTTGTCAGAAAGAAGCAACCAGGAATTTACCATGTTGTAAATTCCCCTATACTTGCACTATTTATCTATGGAGAGGCACTGACCCTTTTGCCATCACTCTACCAATGCTGCTCTCAATGTTTCTATTAATACACCCATTAACAACTTCAAGAAGGGTTGGGCTCTCAATTTTCATGATGTTCTGTCAGAAACAACTTGGTGAAAGGTGTTGCTATATAAGACTGGGAGTTATTTGGAAACTAACCAGGAAAATAAATTCCAGTTGTGCAAAGTTACCCACATGTACATGAGATATCTGAAGGATACTGTTTACTCGCAAATGTGCATGTGCAAAGTTGCTAGTTTTACCCAGACATGCGTACAAAATAATCAATTTATCTGCAGGATTGTTGGCCAGGACACTGGGAGAAATTGCCTTCTCTTTTCGAATAGTGCCATGTATTTTAATGTCTACTTGAACTGGCATATAGAATCTCAGTTGAATGTCTCATGCAATGGATTGCACCAATGAAAATGCAAAGCTGCCCCTGCACTGGACTGGAATGACCAAGGTCGCAACAGGGGGCTTCTAACATAGAGGCAAAATGCCATCCAACTGAGTCAAGTCAACATGCTGATTTCGGCGGCATTCACATCAAAAGTGGTGTGTTTCATATATTTTACCAGGTGTCTTTTGTCCACTGTTAGTTACTCCACCATTCTGTTGTGGATCTTCTGCAAACTCATAAGTCAAGCGAGGCTTTGGTTTGTATTCTCTTCGAGGATGATTTGCTACCTCCCTCATTCTACAAGAAACAAAATTAACATGTGTGCTTGACATAAAGGGGTAGGAGTTAATGAACACTATTGCTTTTCTATTGGTGGTGGGGGGGGGGGTAGAGCTCCAGCTCCAGAAATAGGACATGTGAAATTGATGCATTAGAATGTAATTAGTATTATTATTATTAGAATGTACCACAGGTCAATCTGAACAATAATCTGCTGTTGCATGCCTCCAGGCATGGAGTGCAGTGGATTGATACTCAAGAGTCTATATCGCATTTCAGAGAATTTAATCCACTTTTGAAGAGGTTACTAAATGAAGCACCGCAATGGTTTCTATTATGTGAGCTTTGTAAATCAAGTATAAACACATGACTATTATACGGGGTGTGTTAACCGAATGTAGACATATGGATACAGAGGAAATCACAGATACCCTTAATTTAGTTATCAAAAAAATCTTTATCTATTGACGCTCCGAAACACCATCCTACGTGAATGGTGCTATTTAAATGCAAGTTGTTGTTGTTAGCTACACAATTAAGTGAACTTGTAATTCTCACTATACACGTGTTTATACATGGTTAATACAATGCATATAATTGACACCATAAGTAGAGAAAAAACCTAACAAAAGAACTCATCTCAAATACTAGAGAAGTTGCATACAAAACTAGCATTGAAGGCCAGAAAATTTTGTTTTCCTGTGTGAAAGAGGCCAGTGTGCAGGTTGGAAGGCATCACAACAACAACAACAACCAAATTACATTTGTATAGGGCCTTTCACGTCGGTAGGACATCCCAAGACGCTGGACAGTCAGTGTTTGGACCCGAATTGGGGGTTGGGATTGGGGAGGTGCAGGGCAGGGGGGGAAGCAGGGTGATCTAAAGCACTTTCGAAGAGGAGGGTCTTGATATTGGTCTTGAAGGAGGCAAGGAAGGGGGTGAGGCAGAGCGAATGCGGGATGAAGTTCCAGAGGGTAGGGGCAGAGTGGCAGAAGGCCTGCCCGCCAATGGTGGGGTGGGTGAGGAGTGGGATTGAAGCAGACCAGAGCCTGCAGAAAGGAGGGAGTGGGCAGGATGGTAGGGGGTTAGGAAGTCACAGAGGTAGGGGGGGAGCAAGGCTATGGAGAGCTTTGAAGGTGAGGACCAGGATCTTGAACTGTATTCTCTGAGTGATGGAAAGCCAGTGCAGTCAAACGAGGATGGGGTTGATAGGGTCACGGAGCCTGGAGCGGGAGAGAGCACAGGCTGTAGAGTTCTGGATGATCTGCAGCCTATGGAGGGAAGAGTTGGGGAGGCTGACAAGCAAGAAGTTTGCATAGTCAAGCCTCAATGTAATGAACGCATGTATGAGGGTTTCCGCGGCCTGTGGTGTGAGACAGTGGTGGCGCCGGCCAATATTGCAGAGGTGGGCGAAGGTAGAGCGGGTCATGGCACGAACGTGGGGTAGAAAGGATAGTTGAGGGTCAAACAAGATGCCAAGGTTCCAGACTGGCTTAGGAAGGTGGAGTGTGCATTCCTGGATGGTGACGTTGTCAGCGCCTGAGGTGTGGAGGCACTGACGGGAGTCAATCAGGAGGGCCTCGGTCTTGTTGACATTCGATTGAAGAAAGTTAGCTCTGATCCAGAACTTGATGTCTGACAAATCTTACTGTTTTTTGATTGGAAACTGAATGGGACTCAGGAGAATGTACAATTTAGGCGATTATACAATTTATAAAGGTAAGACTTATGCAAATTTTACTCTCATCATTGGGCCATCTAGTGGCAGACCTGAGAGCTGTCAATTAAACGCTTGGAGTGAGTCCAATGTAATTCCCATCTGTGGTATTTAGAGTGTGGGTGAGAATTGCAGCACTCTGGGAACCACCTGCTCCAGGTGCAGTGAGGAGCAAGACTCTCGTGTGAATCACCCTGGCTCAGCTCCCATGTATACTTCATGTTTGGCTGTGAATTTTTATCCAATGTCAGCACAAACACAGCATAATTATCCAGAAGTTGAAAACAAACAGTTCTGTTGTGAGACAGGAGCCCACTGCAGTCTGGAGACAGCTGCCAACAATTGCCTACACAACATGATCTGCTTCATTAATGTCAGGTAAAACACAAATAACCTGTTTGTTGCCCAAGCAATTGTGTCAGCAAATGATTCTAGTGACCCACTCACTCCTTTGGCTTTTCTATTGTGACAAGATTAAAACTCTTCATGAGCCCGTTATTTCATGTAAACAAACAATGCTTAAAGCAGATTTAGTCTCATTAGTACTCAAATACATTAGAATACATTAGAATATACAGCTCAGAAACAGGGCATTCAGCCCAACTGGTCCATCCCGGTGTTTATGCTCCACTTGAGTCCACTTGAGTCTCCTCCTGCCCTTCCTCAACTAAGCCTTCAAAACATAACCTTCTATTCCTTTCTCTCTCATATACCTATCTAGCTTTCCCTTAAATACATCTATGCTATTTGCCTCAAAAACTCCTTGTGGAAGCATGTTCCACATTTCCACTAGTCTCTGTGTGAAGAAATTTCTTCTAACTTCCCTATTTGATCTATTTGTGACTATTTTATATTGACGGCCATTGGTTTTAGTCTCCCCCTCAAGTGGAAACATCTTCCCTATGTCTACCCTATCAAAACCTTTCATCATTTTAAGACCTCTATCAGGTCACCCCTTACCCTCCTCTTTCAAGAGAAAAGAGTCCAAACATGTTCAGTCTTTCCTGATAGGTATAACAGATGACAGATCTGGGATCATCCTTTTGAATCGCCTTTGCACCCTCTGCAGTGCCTCCACATCCCTTCTATAATGTGGGGACCAGAACTGCACACAGCATTCTAAGTGTGGTCTGACCGATGTTCTATAGAGGTTTACCATAACTTCCCTGCTTTTCATTTCTATCCCTCTAGAAATTAACCCCAATGCCCGGTTTGCATCTTTTATGACCTTATTAACCCACATTGCCACTTTTAGTGAATTGTGTATGTGTACCCCTGGATCCCTTTGCTCCCCTACCCCGTTTAGGTTTTTATTTTCCAGGATGTATGTGACTTCCTTAATTCCTCTACCAAAATGTGCCACCTCACACTTTTCTACATTGAAATGCATTTGCCATTTAAATGCCCATTCAGTAAGTTTATTAATGTCTTGCTGTAATTTGTTACAGTCCTCCTCTGTATTAAATACTCCACCCAATTAGGTGTCGTCCGCAAATTTTTAAATGTACTGCTGATTCCCGAATCCAATTCATTAATACATATTGTGAACAACAGTGGTCCCAATACCAATCCACCACTGCCCATCCCCTGCCAGTCTGAGTAGTTACCCTTTATCCCGACACTCTGTTTTTTGTTTTGTAGCCAGTTTGCTATCCATTCTGCTATTTTCCCCCTGACTTCACATACTCTGACCTTATTCATTAGTCTATTATGTGGTACCTTGCCTTTTGGAAATCTAAATATATTACATCTACCGCATTACCTTTGTCTACTCTTTCTGTTACCCCTTCAAAGAATTCAATGAGGTTAGTCAAGCATGACCTTCCTTTTTGAAATCCGTGCTGACTATTCTTTATTATGTTTTCTGTTTCTAGATGTTTTTCCATTACCTCCTTCAGTAAGGATTTCCTACCACCGATGTTAAGCTGACAGGTCTATAGTTCCCTGGGCTTGTTCTATCTTCCTTTTTAAATGTGAATACTTGTATACTGTACATCTGAAGGTGTTTGACAGCATTGCAAAGTGAATACAAGTGGCAGTTGAACAATAAACACATGTGATAGATAGTCTTCTAAAAGTTTAAAGTTTTTTTTCAAAAAAGCTTGAGTATATTTGAAACTTATTTTATGTCACAACAACAATAACTTGGATTTATATAGCGCCCTCAACGCCGGACGGCGTCTCAGAGCGCTTTATAGTAACGGATCCCGGGAACGAGCCAGGGGGAGGGGGAGGAAGGTAACGAAAGGCGCGGTCGAAAAGAAAGATCTTCAGCAAAGACCTGAAAATAGGAAGGGAGGGAGCGAGATGAAGGGAGTGAGGAAGGGAGTTCCAGAGCCTCGGGGCATAGTGGCTGAAGGCACGGCCGCCGAGGGTGGAGCAGAGGACTCGGGGGACGAGGAGGAGGCCAGACCCGGAGGAACGAAGACAACGTGTACTGTTTTGAGGAGAGAGGAGGTCAGAGAGTTAGGGGGGTGCAGAGGAGTGCAGGGACTTGAATACAAGGGTGAGGATCTTGAAGTCGATCCTCTCTGGGATAGGCAGCCAGAGCAGTCTGGCAAGGACTGGGGTAATCGGGGAGTGGAGTTTTGTGCGGGTAAGAATGCGGGCGGAATGATTTGGATTTTATGGATGGTAGTGGATGGGAGGCCGGCGAGGAGGGCGTTGGAGTAATCCAGCCAAGAGGTGACAAAGGCATGGACCAGGGTTTCAGCGGCTTTTGGGGAGAGGTATTGGCGGAGACGGGCAATGCGTCGGAGGTGGTAGAAGGCGGTGCTGGTGAGGGACCGGATGTGGGGGAGGAAGGATAATTGGGGGTCGAACCTGACGCCTAGGCTGCGTACGGGTTCGGAGAGTTTTAGGGGGAGGTCAGCTAGGTGAAGGAGGTGAGAGCCATGAGAATTTAGACGTTGACGAGAGCCAAAGAGTATGGCTTCAATCTTGTCAATGTTCAGCTGAAGGAAGTTTGCGCTCATCCAGCCCCTGAGGTCTGACAGACAGGCTGACCGAACATCAGGGGACTGGGGATCGCAAGAAAAGGTGGAAAAATAGAGTTGGGTGTCATCTGCATACATATGGAAATGTACCCCATGTCTACGGATGACATCCCCAAGAGGGAGCATGTAGATCAGAGAGAGGAGGGGGCCAAGGATGGATCCTTGGGGTACCCCGCAGGTGACCGGGTGAGAGCGGGAGGAGAAGCCGTTTGTGCAGATGTACTGCTGGCGGTTTGTGAGGTAGGCCTCGAACCAGGCGAGTGCGGTCCCACTGAGGTGGATGACGGAGGAAAGGCGGTGGAGG